AGCCAACCCCATGGTTGAGATACGTAAATGACATCTTCATACTCTGGCTTCATCAGGAAGAGGTCCAGCTACTACTGGACCATGTGAACTCAATAAGATCATCAATACAGTTCACAAAGTAGAGAGAAAATGACAACAAACTCGCCTTCCTGGATGTACTATCTCAAACAGAGCATGGGTTCAAGTTATCCATATACCACAAGCCAACATTCACAGGACAATACTTTAACCAACTCTCACCACCCATACAGTATAAAGAAAGAGATGGTCCACTGCTTATAACATTGAGCAAATATCATAAGTGATGACCTAGAGACATATGAACAAGAAATGGTCAGTATAAGCAGTACTCTAGAACATAGAAACTACCCTGGGCACATGTTAGCAGCTTCAACAAACTGAGATAGAAGGATACAAGAGGATAACAACACTCAGAAAACAGCTTTGGTCTGCCAACACTATGGGAAGTGATTATCGGAAAAAATACAAAAGATCTGTGGTCCATATAACATCAAGATGACCTTCAAAAGACTCCTCTTCTGAGTAAGACCCCCTCCATAGAGGAAAACATGACTAAGGACTGTGTGTAAACCATCCCATGCAGCTGTGTTAAGAAATATAAAGAAGAAACAGACTGTCCCCTTAAGATAAGACTGCAAGAACATTGTAAAGCCGTAATACAAGGGGAAAGAGAAAAATCAGGCATAGCTGACCACATATGGAGGGAAAAGTGAGATCGCCACCACCTATGTGATGAGTTTGAAATAATAAAAATAATAAACATTACTGCAAAATACAAAAACTTAAGGAATCAATACATATGCTAGGCCGCAAAAATCTCCTAAGCGAGCCAAGCATGGAAATGAATACAATATGGGAGCCAATACTATAGAGGGCTAGAGAAAAGCAATAATAATAAAAAAAACTGCTCTGGTAAAAACTGGTAATGAGATATTAATTTTATAAGTCCCAAAAATTCATAGACTGATGTCTTCAAGGAGACATGGACTAGTGGATAAAAGCATTGGTTGGATTCAGTGACTTGACTCAACTTGAGCTGTCTTCTGCAGTTGTGAACAAAAACTTGGAAAGTTGAGTTAAAGGGAGATAACTGAGACATCCAGAAGAGACAATCTACCCTGGTGGAAAGGGTTCAGTTCAAAATTCCACTCACCTGAAGGAGGTCGGAGCATACAATGGCCGAAATGTTGTGAATATGGCAAGAAAGATGAGGACAACAGTCAGAATAGTGTAAATAATTACAATACCTCATCTCAGAAATATAGACATGTCACTGTCATTCAAATAAAAAATGCCAAGTTGTCAACACAAATCTACAGCAAGTGACTCTCTTTCTCGAAAGAGAAGAGAAAAGCAAAGCAAGTAAAGATCAAGCTAAGGTACCAAGAACTGAAATTACATGGCATTTTGCTGAAGTCTGTGTATTACATTTTCTCCTATAAACTCAGAATAATTACATTTACTAACATGTATAAATTTTATCTATATTAAATGTTCATTTCTATGCAGTGGCGTAGCTAAGGGGGTGGGGGTGGGGCGGACCTATTAGGTGCCAGCACAGGAGGGGTGACACAATGTTACCCCCAACAAAATTTTTCAACCAGGCTAAGGTGCCAAAAATAGTCTGAAAACAGTGGTGGAGACACAGGGTTTCGCAGGCGGCCATATGACCCCCCAGAAATAATTTATGACCCCCCCTGTTTTGTCCCCCGTCAGAAATTTTTTAATAAATTGTCGGGAAATTTGTGAGTAGGAAAAATAGCAATGTTTTCCGCTTTCATGTGTTTCAATTGCTACAATCTTAGTTACTAACAAGAGACATTGTTGTAACATTTTATCGGATGATATGGTGTTTTAACTCTGCATCATTAATAACAACAAAGCGAAATACAAAGCCAAAAGTGCAACAATCTTGCCTGTGTATCAATTCGCTGAGATACAATTTTCCATTGAGTGAGTGATATACTTTTGAATATATCTACTAGTGTTGGGACGATTAATCGGAATCGAGAATGGGAAAAATCGAAACTTTTTGTAGTATTGGAAAAATTTGTGCCTATTTTCCGATTCCAAAAACGATTCTTTTAAATTTTTAACTTAATTTTCCATTATTGGTACTAATGATAAATATTTATTGTTTTTAAATTATCACTAAAACTAAAATTATAATAACATCAAAATACGATGTACACTGCGTGCCAAATTATTATCGAGATAACTTTTTTCTAATATTTCAAAAACCGTCCAATCAATTCACACAAAAATTTCACACTATGTTGGCAACACTGACCTGCGTAATCACTGAAATTTTCGTACTGATCTGCGCAATGTAAACAAACTGGCGCCATATTTGTTATCAGCACGGTGATTTGATCGTGCCAAATTATTAGAAAAATATAAAAATTTAGTGAAAAAGCAGTTTAAGTGATGCTGAAAAGATAACTATTACCCTAGAACTCTCAAAAGGTAAATCTACCCTAGAAATTTTTAAAATGATAGGGAAGTGTCATCAAAAAGTGAAAAATTCACCGCCGACCCTACACAAGTACGCAAAAGGGCATATAAAGGCAAGCCGAGGGTTATTTCACGTCATCTCATGTCACGACTTAAACGAGAGGCCACGAAGAACCCTGGACTTACCAGTCAAGAGCTTTTCAGTCGTATTCGGGATCCTACTGTGTCTAAAAGTACTCGGTGTCGGTATCTGAGGGAATTAGCAACAACAGTCAAACCTGTATCGAAGTCTCCTTTGACGAGAAATCATATTCAAAATCGATTGAAAAGGGCTGAGGACAATATGATTGACTTCTTTAAAGTTTTGTTCACAGACGAAACTCGAGCAACACTTGCTGGGCCAGATAGATGGTGCAAAGGCTGGGTAATGAACGGACAGAATCGCTATCAGTGTTTGAGACGCCAACAAGGCGGTGGAGGCATAATGATCTAGGGTGGTATTATTGGAAACACATTAGTGGACCCATGGAGAGTACCAGATGGCGTCAAAATGACTGCTGATGCATACATAGCGTTTATGAAGAAGCATCTTGAACCGTGGATAAGGCAAAGATTTGCCTTCAGAAGGGCCATTGTTTTTTATGCAAGATAATGCTCCCCCACACACTGCTCACAAGACTACTGAATATTTGAAACAGCTAGGCTTCGATGGACCTCAAAAAATGAAGTAGCCAGCAAATTCTCCGGATTTGAACCCAATCGAATACCTTTGGAGCATCATGAAGCGAAGACTGTATGCCAACGGACTGTGCCTTTGTATATGTTATTATCTGTTTGATATCTTATTTATTAGCTTCTTTTGATCATAAACATTCACGTTCAACATTAATAAACGTTTTGTTTGCTCAATTCTGGGAATTTTACTAAACCTTTCTAATAATTTGGCACGATCAAATCACCGTGCTGATAACAAATATGGCGCCAGTTTGTTTACATTGCGCAGATCAGTACGAAAATTTCAGTGATTACGCAGGTCAGTGTTGCCAACATAGTGTGAAATTTTTGTGTGAATTGATTGGACGGTTTTTGAAATATTAGAAAAAAGTTATCTCGATAATAATTTGGCACACAGTATAAATTTATTTTTCTTGTATAAAGAAAAACAAAAAAATAAACTTTGCATAAATTCTCTAGGTAACCTTTAAAAGAATGCAGTTGATTTACAATGTCCCGAAAAATGCTTAAAAATTAAATAGAACATTTTTGTCAAGAAAAATACTTTCAAACATCATTGATAATTAAATGGTACCCAGAAAATGATGGAATAGAAAATTGGACACCGGAAAATTAGCAACAGAAAATTACGTCAACCATTAGCCAGTCGAGACTGTCGGATCTGGCTGTGCTGTCCATTGAAAACGAGCTTACAAGACAAACAAATTTTCACGATGTCATTGACCAGTTTGCCACAATGAAAACAAGAAAACATTCATTCTAAGACCATAGTATCGAATTTTGTGTATTGCCGTGTTTTGTATTTAGTTGTTCTGAAAGTGAACAGTTGAATTTTAAAAATCTTTTGATTTGAACTGATTATTTTGTGGTATTGGATTTTGTCTTGGATCATACATGTAAACAGTAACGTACCGGTCAGTAGAGTAAAGTAGAGGTAGAGCATGTATGAAAATTTAGCTACAGCTAACCATTCAGCATAGGTTGAATCGGGATCATTGGTGTGACATTTGAGCAGACCACCCCGAGTGACGTTTACTCTAGCTACACCACTGTTTCTATGAATATTTCAAATAAGAGTGTTTACCATGGAAATCAACTTACACTCACCTTTAGATACAATGTAAATTTTTTTTTTTTAATTTTACCACAATTATTGGACGTTTGTTTACTAAGATTGTAACTATGACAAATTATTACTATTACATTTTTACTTGAACATAATTTATAAACTCAGTTACAAAATATCTCAAGATTTTATTTTGTATCGTTTTTAGTCTATGTGAATGTGAGTAAATAGACAAAAGTTTATGATTTATATTGCTTTTAAAATTATACCAGTTTACTGACTGATAAATTCTAAGAAAAGTTTGCAATAGAAAGAATTTTTTAATTATCAATCTCTTTCTTTAGCAAGGTGCATGTGAGAAAAATAGACATGCTGATAGCTAAATTATATTACATTATTGTTGTACTAATACTGACAATATTTTTAAATTAAAAAAAAATTATTAGTTAATAATTGTCAAATTGTTATAATAATTATTGTCGTAAAATGAATTCATAAAATTATCAGGCGTAATTTTTTTCCTTCCCGCTGAGCAAAAAATTCCACTGGCCTCAAATCTTGTCATCTGCAGTTAAGGCTGACGTGACGTCAGTGACCTTCTCAGCTTCATTTCAAGGACGCAGGTTTACAACGACCTTGTAAAGCTTCAGTTAGCAGACGGATATTCCCGGTTGCGGCTGTTTCTTTTATCTGGCTCCGGCGTATCACCCCCAAAACATCAAATATGGGCCGAAAATTCTTTGTTGGTGGAAATTGGAAGATGAATGGTAGCAAGAAAAGCATCGATGAAATCGTTGCTTTCATGAATGCCGGACAATTGAGTGCTGATACTGGTAAGGCATTTTTCTAACTAGCGTTTTTTTTTTTTTGTTTAGAAACTTAGTTTGTATGGCTTTTTTTTCTTCTTCATGTTTTGCATTGTACAGATTTTGGTGAATTCTAATCATGAGTTTAACTAAAATACTAAATGAGATGCCTTATTTCAAATGATCCTTAAATAAGTTTTGTCTTTTAGTTCTAATCTTTTGATCAACTTGAAACTTGTAATTTTCAATTTGTAGATTACACGACTTTTCTTTTTTAAATTTACTGTAGTTTTCCAATAAGTACGAATATTTTTAATATTTTCATTATAAACCTGACAAAATAAATCAAAGTCCAATGACGACGTGAATAAATTAGTTATTGACTTACTCTTTGACTTACTCTTAACTTATGGTATCATTTTGTTGTTATTGTAGATCTTTATTCTTTCTTGTTTAATTTCGCTCTATGGACTCTACTTGAATCGTATTTTTAAAAACTTTAACAGTTTTTTTTGTTTTTTGTTTTTTTTTAATTCTAAATGTGTCTTGATTTTTTTTTTTTTTGTGCATCGAAAAACAAAACTTAATAAAAATAGTTTATTAAGAGAAAGAATAAGTAGTGATCAAGTAAAGTATAACTTAATTAAAATTTTAGATCACTACTTATTCTTTCTCTTAGTCTTACTATTTTTATTAAATTTTGACAAAAAAATCTCTACACTTTGTAGTTATTTTGTAATATATATATATTTTTTTAGTATTTTAGTTTCGTATTAAATTTCTCGTTAAAACAAAAACTGGTTGTTAAGCGCCTGAAAAATCATTATCTTCTTAGCCTCACAAGTATTTTAGTGCCTGGGTGAATACTAAACTAAATATAGTTAATCCGAATGAACTTTTTAACAATGACACCACATATTATTTTTTTCTTGGTTGAGATTTCATATTCCCGATCTACGCAAGAATTTTTTAAAAAAATCTCTGATAAAATAGAATTTTTTTAGGCTTAAATTGGAATACAGAGGTTTAAACCGAATTCGTTGGACATTTTTTTTTTATTTTAATGATATAGCGGGACCAAAATTGTTTTGTTACCTTGGAAGCAGATCAAAAATGGCATTTTAAAGTTGAAAGATCATTTAAATGTTTCATAAATCAAATATTTCTTTTGTTTTGTACCCCAGTTTTGCCCATGAGAAATTGGCACAGCAACACACAATTCTTGTTTTCCATTCTTCTCTTAACAAAATCGGCCATGCTTCAGAACTTTACTCTATGGAGGTAAAATGACATGTCATTTTTTGTTAATAAGATACAGAACTTTTTTTGTGTTCATTTCTACTTTGTAATGAATAGATAATGAATATTTTATTTTACTTGATCTCTAGAATCGCTTAAAACTACTTATCGCCCAGTAAGCGTTAAACTATCTAAAAAAAACAAAACAAATCAACATGATTGCTCATGTTAGTTAGCCGTTTTGACTTTTGAGTAGTCTGTTGGCATACAGAAATTATATTTAAAATAATGTTTGAATTTGTTGATATCTTGCCACTTATTTATATTAGAGAGGACTATATTCTTGTATTTAAGATAGAAAAAATTGACAAATTGAAATCTTGAAACTTTTTTTTTTTTTATATATTTTTCATCTTTTTACTTAGCATTTACTACACAATGTTCATAGATGCTGAGAAAGGTCAAGGTCATTTTGTCAAGGCTATGATGTGTCTATTTATATCCATCATCTCGAATGTGACAAAAGCGAAGGTGGCTGGTAACAAGAACTGATTTTTCCTTTTTGAATAAGCAAATGAATTGCGACTTGCCAATTCGTTTTATGACAATTTGGAAGCGTTGACATTATCAAAAATAAAAGACCTCTCTATTTTTGTTCATGCTTCAACTTTCGTTATTTCTCAGATTTTTCTTAATGAAAAGAAATAATAAATTTTTAGATATGTTTCTCAATAACCGAGATAGCTAGGAATTCAATTTTTTTTTATTTTTTTTTTTTTTTTGGAATAAGCACTTAAAAAGACACAGCTAGTGACAAAATAGCACATTTTTTTTTTTTTTTTTTTTTTTTTTTCACTTTATTTTTAAGAGTGAGAATGTTTCAGTTTTAATTGTTGCAATTTTTTTTTTTTTTTTTTTTTTTTTTTAATACTTAAATTTTTAAATTTATTATATATCGTTTACTTTATTTTAAAAAAGTTAGTGGATACACGTCTCTGAATAGACATCCCCCTTTTTATTTATTAATTTATTTTAATTGTAAGTTCACCTCTTCCGTCCTGCGAGATTCGAGAGTACACAGATTATCTACTCGAACACTTGCATCCACTAAAAAACGTTTTAGGCACCACCAACCAAATTAGATGCGTTTTTTCCGAAATTAAATAGAATTAAAAAAGAATTGGCAAAAAAAAACCAGGAATTCAGAATCAGATTCAAATAAAACTTATACTGACTGGATATTTTATTAAAAAAAACTTTGAAATTATTCTTGGTATCTTTTTTTTATTTTATTTATTTTTTGTTATATAAAGAAATTCCTGAAGTTCTGTTAAAAAAAATTAGGTACTTCCCCTTTTTCGCGGAAAAAAAACAGCATTAGGCCTCAAACTCAATAAAAACAAACCTCAGTTTTGTTATTAAAATATCTGAGAAGGAACCAAAGTATTTTTATTTTTTGAAATTTTTTAATCCTTTCTAGCACGTTCAAAATTTTGGTTAAAAATCATAATTTTGTTTACGTCAGCGGAGGACGTAATAATTACGATAAGATTATTAATCATTAAATTTTTTTTTTTTTTTTTTCTTTCTTCATGTTACCACCCACTTAATTTCATAAAATTTCGAGAAATCCTATTTTAAGGGCGTTTTTTTTTTTTTTTTTTTTTTTTTTTTCAGTGCCTACTTATATACAAGTTGGTGTGCAGTTGTTTTTTTTTTTTTTTTATTTTATTTTTTTAATTATATTATTGCATAAATATTTTTTAAATTATTTTATTTTATTTTATTTTCAGAGGTTGTTGTTGGTCCTCCAACATGCTACCTTGAGTATGCTCGAAGTAAACTGAACCCAAACATTGGAGTTGCTGCTCAAAACTGCTATAAAAAGGCTTCTGGAGCCTTTACTGGTGATATTAGGTATGGCCTAGAGCAATAAACAGCAGTTACATTATTCACAATTTCTAATTTCTATATATTTTTTGCTGTTTTCTTATGCATTTATGAAAAAGAATAGAAAGATTCAAATATGTTTACAAAGTCTGAAACCTGTTTTATTTCTAGATATAATTAGAATATTATTAGGAATTTCACTCATTTAATATGAAGAATGCTAAAAAGTTCTTAGCTGGAGCACCTTCTGCTTACCTCGGAGTTCTTGACAAGATCCAGAGAAGGATATGTAATCTAATTGGCCCTGATCTAGCGTCTTGTTTGCAGTCACTCTCTCACAGATGTGCCGTCGCCTCTCTCTGTCTTTTCTACAAATACTTCCATGGTAACTGCTCTGATGAGCTGCTCTCTCTGGTTCCCAGACTCCATGAATTCAAGCACCCTACGAGGCTGGCATCCCGCTCTCACCCTTACACTGTAGAAACCTTCAAATGTAGCCGTCTCTTCTACTCCAATAGCTTCATACCTCGCACCTCTCGCCAGTGGAACACCCTCCCCAATCACTGTTTCCCTGAAAGCTATAATCTCCAACTATTTAAATGTAATGTCAATCGACATCTCCAATTACCTTGATCTACCCACTATCCTTCTCCTCTTCCTTTCTCCTATCACTCTTATCTGCTCTCGCTCCAAATCTTCCGCAACCCCCTGCATCCTAGTGGCTTCACGCCTTGCTTGGGGCACAATGCTTTAAAAAAAAAAAAAAAAAAAAACACTCCCCAAAATCTGACCAAACAGAATTTTTTTTTTTTTTTTAATTCCTCCTCTGTGTGATCAAGAACTTTTTAGCATCTCCTCATATTTGATTTGATTTTTACTTTAAATTTTTTTTTTTTATTTTTGAATAGTTTTGGGTAAAATATGATTTTGTTAAACATGACTTGTTTTGAACTTATTAATTCTCATTTTATCAATTTGATCTCAAAATGTTTTCTCTTGTCATTGTAAATCATTGAGTTTGGGAATATTGTTTTTGAAGTTAAATTTCATCCTAAAATATAAAGATATAAACTGAATATTCATGTTATCACTTAGTTGAATTATTTCAAAGTTTATTAACTTTTGAAATTGAAGTTTTAAATTCATGCATTGCACAAATCAAGGGAAGCAAAAAATGTTGAGCTTACTGCTTTATCTTAACTCATTAATGTACATTATCCCATTATGAGAGGATAATGGACATTAATGGCTTATAAATAGAAACCTATAATTAATACCAAGTGTTAGGGTGGGTAATATTGAGTTATTGATTTTCTAAAAATATCAGAAGTATAGAACAGTTTTAAAATTTGAAATTTTTAACATTTGTTTTAAAATTTTTCTTCCTTAAGTGAAGCAAGGTAGCTAAAATGGCACTAAGCTCTTTTACAATATCTTTGGTCAAAAGTTTTGCTGTCATTTTTGTATATAGGTTTATTTATTACCTACAGTTTTTATTTACTTAATTCTGTACTATTAAATTAATCTATACTTACATGTAAACAATTAAAAAGTAATTTGTTTTGTTAAAACCTCTTTTGGAGTTGGAAATGATTATATGTGGTAACATATTTAAAAATACATAGCACACAGCAGCTTGGTTTATAAAATATTTTTCTTGAAATTTTTCTCTTGATATTTTTATTTCTATTCTAGTGATAGTCTCTTATAATGTATTTATACTTCAGCCCAGCCATGATTAAAGATATTGGGTTAAAATATGTCATCTTGGGTCATTCTGAGAGGAGAAATGTCTTTGGAGAGTCAGATGAGGTAACTGATTTTTGTTTTGTTTTTTTAACCCTTTAAAAAAAAAAAACTTTGTCTAGAAAATCAGTTATGGTTATATAAGTCTTATTATATGGTGGATTGTTTTATTGGGCATTAAATTCAAAGATAAATTTATTGTTTTGTTGGCAGTTAAAAGTGAGCAACCAACAGATTATTTATATTTAGCAGAATATTAATATCAACGTCCCTTTCTGAAATGGAAAATGTAATGGTTTAATGTTGTTCTAATTATATGAGCAATTAAATTTCCAATATAGATGTTGTCTCTTAATGTGATAAGAGGGATCTTTTTACTTATAAACAAAAAAACTAGCTTCCTCCTGTGTATAAAGAGAGCATGGAAACCTTTTTACATATCTAATTTCTTTTCTGAATTAATTTTTACTCTAATTTACCAAATGGAAACAACTTGGCATGTCTTGTGAATCTGCTAATATAATCTGAAAAAATCTATTTTTGTTATGAAAATATAAAAATGTGTAAATCTTGATGCAGTTGTAAATTTGTTTAAAAAACTTGTTTTAGTTGGCTTAATATCAATACAGTTCAATAAATCAAATGGAGGCATTTTTTTATAACTTTTTATCTTTGACAAATTGAGTGATTTAAAATTTAGTTGCATATTCTATTCATATAGAATATTTTCATTTTCTATTAAACATAATATGATCATTAAAATAAATAATTGCAGTTTGGGTTATGGTTAGATTAGAAGATATAAGTTATCATAAAGAACTAGAATTATTTATGCAACTGTATATTACTAATTACTGCCCAGTACACTGATTGACAGGAATATTTTTTTTTTTTTTTTTTTTTTTTTTTACAGTTAATTGGTGAAAAAATTGAGCATGCAGTCTCAGAAGGTTTGATTGTTATTGCATGCATTGGAGAAACACTTGAAGAAAGAGAAGCTGGAAAAACTGAAGAAGTTGTATTCAAGCAGACAAAAACCATAATCAGTAAGTAGCCAAACAATTGATAAATGGTATATATAATTGTTGCTTGTAAGCTTATCTTTGCCCTCAAAATTTATCATAAAATCTTCAATGCACATTTGATAATCTATTGAAAAACCTTTTTTTTTTTTTTTCCACTTTTTAAATTTATATTTTGAATACTAAGTTTCAATTTTTTTATACTGTTCACATATTTAAAATAGATATCTTAATAAATTTTAATATTTGATCATATTTTAGGAAGAGAAACTAAGAAACTTTCAGCATTCATCTATTGCTTTGTTATACACAAAACATGTTTTTAGCTTACATTTACCTAGGTACTGCCACAAAATCACTAAAAAAAAATCTGTATACCACAATGAAAACCATAAGTTTTATCATCAAAATCATTTAAATTTTTTTTACTCCTGTTTAGAACATTCAAAAAAGATTTTAAAAAACTTGTTTTTCTTGCATTAGAAATTGTACTAACTTTTAACGTACCAAATTTTAGGCCCTTTTTTTGCAGTGGCACACATTCATTTAGAAATTCTTGCAAAAATCAAATAATTGTCTCAGATTTTAATGAAATTTTGAGGAATATTTCACAAATGAACAAAATTATTTTTTAAATTTGTTTTTATTAGAAAATATTGGTAAAAATTAGGCACCTAAGGTTTAAATTTATTTTTCATAAATAAAAAAATCATTTTTGAAGCTTTCCCCAAGCTTCAATTGAAAGCTAAATGGTTCAATTTTCTAATTCCAGAAAACAAAATACTGTACTGTATTTCAACTAGAAATTATAATGATTTTAATCGATTCTTCTGAAAAACTAATTGAAACGGCCATGTTTAACTTTTTTTTATAGAGAAATGTAAACAAAAATAATTTTTTGTTTTAAAAAAAAAACGCCTAAAATAACAGATTTTTGAAACGTTACTTTCATAAAATTAGCAAATTTAAAGTTTAATTAATCTGTTTTAAAACAAACATCACTTACACCATGAAATTTTCTAGACAAGCATTTCTTCACTACGGAGTCTTGAATTTTCTCGAGTCTCCATCGATAATTTGATGGCCGCGTGTGTTGACAGGTTTAGTATGGTGGACCAGAGCTGATACAATTTTTCGAATTCTAAGTAAGAATGGTTTGCTATTGAATTTTTAACTACTAAGTAATATTTAAAATATTTCAGGCAATTATCTAATATTTTACTGATTTTTTTAACTGTAATTTTGAAGATGTTTTCTTATAATAATTTAAAAATAAAATACAATAAAAATTTTTTAAATTATGTAGTTACCTCTATAATGGTAGATAATTATGATAAATAATTTTATTAATTACTATATTTATCAATTATTACAATTTTTAATTAAATAACTGAGATGTAATATTAATTATTATATTAATTATTAATTATAACTTCTATCTCACTCAGTTATTACATTTTTACAACTGAAATATAATTTTATCTCAATAATTCACTTCTTAATTTAATAACTGAGTTATAATTAATAAAAGTAATTATGTTATCACAAATGATAGAGATAACACTATGCTTTAAAATTTATAGTATTTAATATTTATATCTTTTAAGATCCTATTTTTTCATTTTATTCTTTATTATATTTTGATGTTTATGAATTGTTAAAGTTATTTTATTTATTAAATTTTTAAAGTACTTAAATTTTTATTACTTAGATAATTGTACACCAAGGGCTTTCCCATAGGGGGAGACAAGCCTTGAAACACGTGATCTTTTAACCATAATATCACTTGCGAGACACCATACCAATAAATAAAAATAAACATCGTGACGCACAAAAAAAATAACTTTTATTATGGTAAAAAGTTTTGGTAGCGTTATTTGTATTAAGCTTTCAATTTTCACTTAGTAAATATAGTCTTCACTTAAAAACCTAATAGCCGACCAAATGCGCTGCAAGAAAGAATTTTAAAAAACTTTTTAAAATTAAAGAAAAAAATGAAAAAAAATAAAAGAAAAATGCAAACAATTGTTGTAAAAATTCTATATTCACTGAAATTTTATTTTTTCTTCAGATAATAATGTCCTTAATGTATATTATTTATAAAAGCAAATAAAAACTTATCTAATTTGATAATCGGATAGTTTATTGCAGTTTTTATTTTTATGATTTGGAGCAGATTTTTTACAAAAGTGGGACTAGTTGTGAAAAACTAAATTGGTTATTTAATTTCCAAGGAAATAAGAAAAAAAAATTGCAAACTTTTTTTGAAATTTAAAATTTCATAAAATTAAATTTGGAGGTAGTAACAGAAAAAAAAAAAAAACAAGATTTTCTAAAATAAAAATTTCAAAAAATAAATTCATTCATTTTTAATAAGTTTGAAAGTTTCATTTTAATTAGACAATTATTTCATTTTTTGCAATGATTTCAAAATTAATGGATTCTCACCTTGGTTTTTTGTTTTTTAAAAGTGTTAGAAAGAAGAGAAAAAATTTTAAAAAATATTTAAAAAAATTTTTTTTTTTTTTTTTTTATGATGAAATTTTGTTTTTATTAAGTTTTGGGCCTGTTATCCTATACTGACATTCAGGAAGAATTTGCCTAGTAAAAATATTTGTTTTACAAATTTCGCCGCCCCCCCAATTTTTGAAAACTTGAGAAATCAATGTGATAATTTTTGAAATATTAGTTGAAAACAGAAAGAATTTAAATCCTTGTTTTTTGTTTTGGTTTTTTGTTTTTGTTTTTTCAATATTGTCCGGGAAATCTGTTCTGAATCCAGAAATAAATATATTAAAGACAATATTGTCTGAAGAAAAATGTATTTTTGCAAGATTTCTTTTTTTTTTTCTTTTTTTTTTTTTTTTTTTACAATATTAAATTCAGTAATTTATAAAGTTTTTAAATCTTTTAATTTTTTAATTCAGTTTCACTGGTTTCATTCTTAGGAAATATTGTTATTAAGTAAAACTATATTTGCTAATCATATATTGTAAAATGTATTAATATCTGACGACCCCTGAATAGTTTTAAAAAGAATTTAGATTTGTCTTTGTATGTGTATCTAGATGCAGAATTTGTAAGTAAAAATGTTCATATTTGACATTATCATTAAAAGGTCACATGTTTTAAAGGTTGTCCCCTTTTCAGATAAAAAAACCTCATATAAAATTTATCGCCTGCTAGCAATTCTACTTCACCATGCTTAACTTGTCAACATGTTAGGCAGTTGATAAATTGATCAATATGTCGGAAAAGCAAGACCCCATGTTCAAGAAATACTTGTATATAACATTTTATCCTATAAATATGTTTCAAATCAGATTAATTTAACTTTAAGTTTGCTAATTTTTCTAAAATAACATTTCCGTAATATATTATTTTTGCAAGATTTTTAATACCAATTTTATTGATTTTGCTGAAAAAAATTTCCAATCAGTATAATTTCTGTTTGAAATAAACCACTATTTTTCTTACTAGAAATAACAAATTTGAATCCTTTCACTTTCAATTAAAGCTAAAATGAAAGTGTCAAAGCTTTTTCATTTTTAAAAATACATTTTAAACCTTACATATACTGAATTAGTGGAGGTATCTACTGAAAAACCTGCTTAAATTTATGAGTCTCATAAGACAGCTGAAGTATGAATGGCCAAAAATGATAAAGCCTTATATACAATATCAAATCTCAACTTTAAAAACATCATCATATGATTGGGAGCATTCGTGTGTGTGTGTGTGTGTGAAATAGGCTGGGAAATTACTGTGCCAAAGACGGCTATATAAAGAAGTGCTCAATACACCATTCAGAAAACTGAACTTGCAGAGCAGTTTAATACTATAATTTGCTTTGCTACCTGAAGAGACCTCGTGTTTGAAACCCAGATAATACAGAAAGAAATTTTTTCATCTTTTTATTGTGTGTGTATATATATATATATATATATATAATTAGAGCAAATAAAAGAATTTATGTATTAGTTTAATAAATTCTACCATAGGTAAGAATTATTTAAGCAAATATAAAATGAAAGATCATGCATCTCCACACTTTTTAATAGATTGCTAGTAAATAAAGTTATTTGCAACAATAATGCATCAGAAATAGTATGAAAATATTAAGATAGGTTTTTATAAGAAATTGAAGTTGTTGCAAAACTTTTTAAACACTTATTTTGCTTTTTTTATTTTTCTCCTATTTTAAATTGCCAATAATATTTGCATTCTCTTTGGGAATGCAAATATTCTTTGTGCAATTTGAAACTGAAAATGTTCTTATTCAACTTGAAAATGTTTTTATCTTGATATAAATATCAAGATAGAAAACATTCCAGATTTTCTAATGATAGTTGCTTTGGATTCTCTTTCAGAACATGTAAAGGATTGGTCAAAGGTTGTTATTGCTTATGAACCTGTCTGGGCCATTGGTACAGGCAAAACTGCCACACCTGAACAGGCTCAAGCTGTACATGAAAGTCTGCGTAAGTTTCTTGTAGAGAATGCTTCAAAAGAAGTTGCTGACAATGTCCGCATTCTTTATGGAGGTTAGTTTCAATTTTATTGTCTGCCTTTTCTTGTGCTTAAAATAAAGTGAAAATGGTTGCGAAAACTAATAAATGATTTTTTTTTTTTTTTTTTTTTTTTTTTTTTGCATCATGAAGATAATTTTGTTGTCACAAAGCATCTAACAAATGTACCAAAACCATCATTAAAACTTTGCCAATCAGGCCTACAATCTGGATGTGAACAAATAGAACATGAGCTTTTCTAGAACATAGGCATGAAATGAAGAAACAAGCACTTTTTTTAAAAAAGGAATCAATGAGGAAGAAATGCAGTTGTTAGCATGAAAAGGTTAATAAAAGGTTTACATGTTTGAAGTCATTAGATATAAAAGTTACACTGAACTAATTATTAAATATTAATTTATTCCTCATTTTAGCTGCTTAAAACCTGAATTTGTACTTAATTTTTATTTGTGCTTTTAGACACTTTTCAATTTATACACACAAAAGCATATCTAAAATCTCTTTGTCCAGTTCACTTTCCAAAATCAGACAAAACGCTTTTTTTTTCCTCTCTTTCTCTCTCTCTCTCTCACTTTAAGGGCTTCTTATCAAACCAAGAACTTTTCTCTGGGTGGGAGAAATATATATAATTTGGCTGAAACCTATTTAGCTTTGTTACTTTTTGGAAGTCGACTGACTTTCTTTACCATTTCTCATTTATCTATAAATATGCTCATGTGTTGGGTGACAAAAATGACTAATGCACCTATTTTTTTTTTTTTTAATGACTCCCCTTTTGCACAGGAAAGTATATCCAGTTTGAAAGGGTGGTATGTTTAAGACACATATATAACGGTCGATGCAGATTCAAACCCTGCTGAAGGGCACACTTTTTTTTTTTTTTTTTTTTTTAAAGACTAAAAACCCAAGCCAGTAGATGAAAATAATCTGTTTTTTTTTTTTTTTTAAAAAAAAAAAGCAGATGTCTACACAAATGTGTGTTTACTAAATTTATGTAGTAATGTTTGATTGTAAATAAAAATCCATTAATTTTTTAGAAATTGCTTTGTTTACATTTTTGATATGCCAATGAAGATAAGATATAAGCTTCAAAATATCTTAATGAGAGATGTGCTTTCCTTCATAAGGGCAATTGAAATTTGCTTTGCCATGAAGTTCTTCATGGATGAGCAGTCTAAAAACAAATGCTCAAACATTTTCTATATTAAAGACTAAATTCCTATGCTTATATATAGACAAAATTATACTTTTAAAAAACAGATTTCAACTCAAATATATGTATCCATTAAATATAATGTATATAGTAACATTCAATATAAAAATTCAGATCTTTTTGGATAGTTTTTGATGTTTCACTAGCAATCTTAACTTTTTATTGGCATTTTAAATGTATTTATTTTTCTTATTCATCACTTTAATAAACATTTTTATAACAATGTATAACTCTTATTTCTTGCACTTGCAGGTTCGGTATCTGCTAGCAACTGTAAAGAATTGGCAACTAAACCAGACATTGATGGCTTTTTGGTTGGTGGTGCTTCTCTGAAACCAGACTTTGTCAAAATCATCAACGCCCGTTCCTAAAAAAAAAAAAAGGCTGACACCTTGCCAGCTCCCTTTTATATTTTCCTCTGTTATCTTCTCCATTGCTTCTCCTCTCCCAGTTGATGACTCACATCATGTCTGCTTAAGCATCCCTGACAGGGTTTTATAATCACTGTTATAAATACAGTATTCACAATAGCTTTATGGAATCTCTTTGAAAAGGAGATGAAGAACAAACTTGAAACATAAAATCAATTCATCAATAAAATTCAAAAATAAAATATTTGTTTTTATTATTGGGGAAACATTTTATTCAAATGTTTCATGCAAAGAGGACAATTAGTTTTTGGCTGTTTAGGCTAATCTGTTTCAAGCATAGAACTTGTCATAAAAACAGGCAACATGTACAAAAAATTATTTCCATCATCTTGCATAAAGATTTTTTTTCCCTCTATTGTATCTTTGCAGTTAATCTAGTGTAGATATCTTTATTTTATACATTTAGACTGAATTAGTTTCAAAAGTAAATTTTAGTTTCTATAGATTAAACTGAATTTTAATATGCAAGATTTTTTTTAAAAATGTTCAGATCTTATAGATGTATGTACATATGTTGGTTGATAGAAATATCTCTTGATAAATTTATAACAGCATCTTTTTAATGTTTAACTTCAAATTGGTGCTCATTTGCAAAATTCAATAAAAGTAAATAAGTTATTGAAAATTTAAGGTTTTTCTTTGTTAATGTAAAGAGAAATTGGATGGCTGAGGGAGATTCCTTCAGAAACTTCAGCCTTTATATCAGACACATGTCATTTATGAGTAGTTTATTGAAAAATCAATTAGTCACTAGGCATTTTTTTAAAGGACATTTTGATTGAAAACTTAAGCTGTAAATATAACTAGTTTTTATTTTCTTGTATGAGTACGATTGTGAAAAGTTAACTATTTAGATTATTAAAGATACAAATATTGTATTAATGTACTGCTGGTCCTGGCTACTCCATTGACCAAACTATATATCCATTTACTGTAGCCTAATTAGCTTAAAAATTAGTTCTTCAAAGCCCCATGGTAGACAAGTATATACAGTATGTGAAAGATGTGTAGAATTGGTGATAAATTTCATCCATTTAAGTATTTAATGTGTAAACTATACAACTTCAAGATTTTGAATAACAGTACTGTTTGTATTTGTAGATTTGACTCCTGTAATGGAAGATATAAAGAGAGCTTTTGACTGAACTTTTTTTTTTTTTTTTTTTTTTTTTTTTTTTTTTTTTTTGTTTCAAACAAGCAATCAAGTTAGGACTTGAATACTGATATTGCTATCTGTTACAGTATGTATTCACTGGTAAATTATAAAAGCAGTAGTTAACACAAGTATGAAGTTGGTTAAATTTTATTACTGTAAGTTCATTATGAAGATAATAAGAGCTCTCAGTTGAAATCAGTGCAGTAAAATCTGCATAGGTTTAATAAAACATCTGACTGTAAGAACTTAATGAAATAGAATTGGTTACAATTTAATAAGTTCACCATTTGTAAGGGGGGGTAGTACAATTAGACTAGATCAGCACTCAGCATTGAGGTGGCTATGAAATCCTGTATTTAACTGAAACAAAGATTTTGGCATGATTCCTTCAGCTTTCCTCTCTGAGTAGCAATGAGGAAAAGTCAAATCACTGGAGAAATTCAAATTTGAATTTTATACAAAACTTCAACACTAAATATGCCCTGAATCAAAGTGAAAAAAAAAAAAAAAAAGTAATAAAAATAAACATTGTTTTATTTGGAAAGTTTTCAGTTACTGCTGAGATAATGCACAACACTTCACCTTTCTTGGCAAGTCTATTATCAAAATGTAGGATACTTAATAATGAAAGTGATAAAAAGAAACAGAAAAATTGGCTACACTATATACCCAGAAACATCTATATAAAAAAAGAAAAAAAGCTTAAAATTTCAGCATCCCAACATTTTCAGAGTTTCATTTCTGTGTGCAATTATAACCAACATTTGAATTTTTTTTTATATTAGCCCTCTCCTTCATGTGCATGTGTAATTATATCAACAGAAACATCACTTTCATCCAAAGAAGTCTGAGAAGCAATATGACCAAGCTTTTGTTTAAAAAAAAAAATTTTTTTTTTTTTTCATATTTAAGATGACTGGTATAAAATGGTTTAAATTCTAAGAGATTGAGATAAAATTAACAATGAGGTCACTATACTATTTAGGAATGAGTAATATATTTTTGTGCAAATAGGACATTATTTTCTGAACAACCTAATATATTGAATTTTATGACCTCCAGTAAAAAAAAATCTGCCACATAACTTTTATCACACACACGTGTGTGTATATATATATATATATATATATATATATATATACAAAACCACAATGTTGGCACAACCAACAAAAAAGCCTACCAGATGACTAAAAGTAAAATTAATGAACAACAGTAAAGAAAAAAAGGCCAAAAGACACACACCTACCTAAACAATAACAAAGTGTCCCCCTCTCTCTCTACATATGTGTGTATGTATATATAATGAGTGAAAGGGGATAATTTTTTTTTTTTTGTGTGTGTGTGTATATATATATATATATATATATATATATATACACCCACCTGAACAGAAATATAGATGTTCAGTAATTTGTTTTAGGTGCTGCTAAAAAATCCTTGTTCAAAAAATTTTGAGAACCACTAATTTACTTAACCTGATGCTAAGCCATAATGATAGGACACCCAGTGAGAACCAGGATCACTTTATCATTAAAGGCTTGTAAGCCTGTCACTCCAAGACAGGTGGTTGTTTTAAATACAATTGTATCTTGCTGGTTGCAAAATACAAGGGGTTGATACAGTTCATTATCCTGTTGAAGTAATCATTGTTGTGGTATATGAAATCCATGAAGGGGTGCAAATGGTTATGAAGTCATACAATGTAGAAGTTACAAGACAGGAAATTTTGGAAAACCATGATTACCGATATCTTGAAGGGACACTGCATATAAAAGAAGTGTTATTTACAAATACTGAATTGAAGTTTCTGATTGCTTATCATGCCTTGTTCAAACTGCATCACTTTGCCAGGATTAGTCAAGCCAGTGTTCAATACTGATTCAACAGATGTTAGAGGACAACTGATATACATCTGGGGCTTTCCATGAAGTCAAGGTATGGTGGCACCACTTACTATTACTTTTACATACTGCAATCTGATGACTTTTGAAATGTCTATATATATATATATATATATATATATATTAGAGGAGATAGCTAGGAAAGTCAAATCCTTGATATAGGTCTGGGTATTTCCATGTCATGGTATGGTGGTACCACCTACAGTTATCTTTACATACTGCTATTCCATCACTTTTGGCATGTCAGTGTAAACTATGTGCAAATTATTCATATGAATAATTATAGAATTTAAATTGGAATATTTACAAATTTTACAGTCTTATTTTTAGCATATGGCAAATTTGATGCAATCATTAAAAGATGCTAAATTTATTAATATAACTTGGCAAACTGACTTGTGCCTGCAATAAAAACAGTCAAAAGGACAGTTTTTCCCACTTATTTTAACTACCTTTGCTCCTTGGCAATGTTCGCCATTTTAAAAAGCTGTGATTAGAATTGTAATAAAACCTGAACATATGATGAAAGTGAATTTATGTCTTTATGCTTGAAAATTGACAACTAAAATAATAAACATTCTTTATTATATTGTTTATTTACACTGTGTATTGTTTAATTGCCAATCTATTGAAACTTCATAAAATGGTAAATAATAATTTCCTTCGGGTCGATTCACATTTTAATAATTTAGTAAATGTTTATGAATAAAAATTATATTTATTTCTTTATAAAATGGTAAATGATAACTATTGCATTGTATTAGTTTTAATTGTATTAGATTTTAGAATGTTGTAAATAAACAATCTAATAAATAAATAGTGTTTAATATTTTTGTAAAATCTCGAGAACTAAAAAGAATGTAAAATTTACTTTCTTCATATGTTTAAGTTTTATTAAAAAATGAAAATGAACAATGAAATATCTAATAAACATTATAGATACTTAAATGTATTTAATCCATTAATACACAATGTCCTATTTTAGGGATGGTCAGTAGAAACATATAATTAATACTGGATTTTTATTAAAATAACCTCAGAATTTTACTGTGGGTATTAATTGATTAAGTAACTTATGACATGTTAAGACAAGTTATCTGTGACATTGAACAGATTAAAGAATGTAAGTGAAGTGATTACTCTTTAAACATTTATTACTTTAAAATATATACTGTTTTCATATTTCAATACATACCATTTTCATACTATATATATATATATATATATATATATAATTGGTGTATATGGAATGAATTCCAATAACCAACAATTACTATTTTTAAAAGAGTGCTCAGTACAATTAGAGCAGATATAATTATTTATTTAAAAAAATTATAACATAAATATGTTATAAAATCACTACAAAAATAGCCATTTTGTTTCAACACCTCCAGTGTCTTATCAAGTGATGTTGAATGTAAAATAAATGATTTTAAAAGTTTCAAATTAATTAACGATCCTTCGCAAGGGGAAAACGTTGTTACAAAAGCTAGAATGACCAATCAAAATACAAGTATAGGAAAATTCAAAAAGCTTGATAACGAAGTCGTGTTATAATAGCTATTCAGATCTTTAAAATAGGGGTAATATTAAAAAAGAATTTATTCTAACCAATAATTATTAAATTATATGATAAAATTTGAAAATAAAAGTAAAAATTACCAATTTTAAAATCAAAATTTAATCACTATTAAGTTTAAAATTATAAAATTACTGAGGAGAAAAGAAATACATTTTTTTTGTTATATAAAGTATGAAGGTAATAAGGAGGAGAAGAAGAGGTTAAAAAATATTGATATTAATATCAAATTTTATCATATAATTTAATAATTATTGGTTAGAATAAATTCTTTTTTAATATTACCCCTATTTTAAAGATCTGA